TTCCGACAGGGACTGGAAAGTCCTGTTTGGAAAATCGGACAAGGAGACGGTCCTGGGAAAATCTGAGCACTAGAGCAAGGGGAGGGAGGGAAGGAGGGCAGTCAAACCTCCAGGGTGTTGGGGGGAGTTTCTGCTTCAACCCCTCTGGATTTCGGCTTCTTACTTTATGGCCTGATAAATGTGTTGGCTTTTAAAGGGAGCCTTTTGGCCCTGATGTTAATACTTCAGAGAGCTGTCTGAAGGGACGGGGAGGTGAGAGATGCCAGAGCTGTGACAGGTGCTTGCTGGAGACGGGGACAGGCTGTGCAGCGGCCGTCCCAGTGGCGTGTGCTGTCCCAGCTGGCAGGAGGGGATGGGACTTTCCTGCTGCCTGGCCTCACGGGATCCTGTGCAGCTCTTGCTCTCCAGCCGAGCGCCGGCGCTGGGAGCACAGCAATGCTGGAAAAGCCCTTCCTCCACCCCCTTGAAGTGAGAGCGGGCTTTCCTCCAGGGAGAGGGTCCTCCCTGCCATCCCTGCACTCTGTTCTGCTATTCTTTTTTCTAGGAACAACCAGACGCTTAATTATTTCCACAGCTCAGCTTCTGCAGAAAAATGGTATGTGCTGGGCCTCTGCCCGCCCCAGAGTCCATCATCATTGAAGATTTTCCATTAAAACAAGTCACAAATGATACTTGGTCTCCACCTCAGAGATCACGGTGTCTTTGCTGAGGATTCGTTGTTGGCTCCACCTTTTCCTTTCCTCACCCAACCATCTTGCTCATCCACCTCTGAACTGAAACTGTGGGGCAAAGTCAGCAGCAGTGGGGCTGCCAATTTTTGGGGATAGATTAAGGGTCCTGGTGGCCTCGCTGCCTTCTGGTGCATCGAGTCCTGCTGGGGCAAGCAGGTAGATGTGTCCACCAGCTGGATGTGGGGCGCATGGTTGGTAAACACTGTCCGTTGGCCCTGGTCTGGCCCTGTAGTTATAGTGTGTAAAATGCCAGGTAGTCCACAGGGACTTCCTAATGTCAAAGGGCTGAAGGATGAGGAGGAGGAGAGCAAGAGTTAAGGCCCCCAGGTTAGGGCTGTGGCCCCTCATGATGTCCAAGCCCATCGGCAGGCAGGCTGGCAGGCAGCTCCCGGGGCTGCCCGCCCCACCTCTCTCTGCTGAGTGAGCTGAGACACCCACACCTATGCATCAAACAGCCCGCACAGCCCAAGCTGTGTGAGAGGAGCAGGCTGCAGCATAACCCGAGAGCAGCAGAGCGAGCACACGGGGAGGGCGGTGAAAGGTTTTTGCTCTCGACTGCAAAGGTCAGGCTGGCACTGGAGCCAGTGGGAGGACGCAGCCTCCCTGCACGTGTCCTGGGTGCGATGTTGCCTTTTGCCCTTGCTTTTCCACTTTCCAAAGCTGCAGTGGATGCAAGAGAAGGATTCCCAATTCCCTGTGGGACAAAGAGGACCTAGGCTCTGCTCTCCAACATTGCCGTCCCATTGCGTTTTGTCTGTCACCCCTGTAAGGTTCTTGAGAAGTCCAGGGCCAATGCTGAGCGAGCTGAAACGCAGGAGAGCAGGGACTGAAGGTGGGCCCTGGGTTGTGGTTGGGGTGAGGGAGGCCTGCAGGGAGCTGGAGTGCGAAGAGGAAGACGAGGGCGTGGGAGGAAATGGTGAGTTCAGCTCTTTGTGCGCAATACAAGGAAGTTTGGGAATATCCCTGCAGGATTATCAAAGAGATTTACAAGAATGGGCAGCGGGGAAAGGCTGGAAATAAAAATGCAGCCTCATGCTGTGCAATGTGATGATGAGAAGGGGTAATGAGAATGGCGAGCTGGTGTTGCAGGAGAAGAGTGAGGGGGGGAACAGCAGAAAGGTGCTCACCCTGGAAGGGAGAAAAGAGCAGGCAGAGGTGGATACGGGTGCCGAGGGCAGTAAGAGCGGAGGACACAGGCATGGCAGGAGCTGAGGAAAGGCAGGAGGCTACTGGAGAGAGGGTCAGAGTCAAGAAACTAAAACTGAACTTCACAGGACCTCGACCTGCAGCAGCATGGCTGCTCTTGAAGCTTGCTGAGCCACCCAGGGCAGGTGGCGAAGGTGCTGGGAGAGAATTTTGAACCCTGGGCCAGCACAGTGAAGCACTGGCAGGAGCTGAGGCGAGGAGGCGGACGAGCAAGAACAAGCTGGCATGCTGTGCTAATAGCAGCCGTGGCAGCTGAATAAGGAAGAAGTGATGCTGGCAGAATAAATGCGTAAGGAGTTCTTGCTCCGAGTCCTACAAATGGGACTGTGTAACATATCTGCCAGAGTGCCAAGAAGGTAGCATGAAGGCAGGTTATCACCAAAACCACTCTCAGAAGATCTTTCTAAAGGCATAAGTGTGGAAAAGTCAGAGACAGGGTGGACATGCAGTAGTTAAGGGCACATGTTTGAAACTGGGGTTGTGGGGGGTGACCTACGGTGGACAATCTCGTTATATCATCAGGTGAACAGACAAAGCTCTGCACTGAATAGCCCCACGTTGGCAATGCACAAATACACAACATGCCCATCTATTTTGCCAACAAACACATATTCTCACATTAATCTCCATCCTACTTGCTTTACCTGCAGTTCCTCTGCGTACGATACTTGGTTACTTTTGCATGACTGGTGGAGCCAAACAGTAGCATAACCAGCACGTGGTACTTGGGCAATGATTTGTTTAGCTGCAAAACTTCCTTGTACAGTAAAGCATTTGCTTAATTTATTAAGTCATTATAGAATTCTTGCAAGATTATAGCAGCACCTTCCTAAGATACTGTTTGTCTAAATGTTGCAATGGGCAGCAGAGAATGCGCCGCTGCCTCCGAAACTCCTCGGCCAACCTGGTACTACTGATAACTGCACTTTCCTCCCTCCCTCTGGCCTTCGAATAAAAAGTATTTGCATTCAGATGGTATCTATTTAAATATTTGCATACCAGGTCCAGCCGTACTTGAGCACTTCCAGAACTATATCTATAGTTCTGATATCTATAGCTGGTGAATGCCTCCACAGGGCCTTGATAAGCATTTCCAGCTTGTGTTTTGCAAGGGGGTAACTGAAGTGTAGCCAGTGAGAGGAACATTGCCTTTTCTATTTCCAGCCATGGCAATGTTGTGTTTAGTCAGGAAAGCCTGAAAGTCACTCGGGATTCTTTGCTGGTGAAAAACCTGTAGCAGCAGGTGGATAAAGCCCCCCAATCCCCATCCCCAGCTCAGATTTAGCAGCCGTTTGGAGTGCAGGGTGAGGCCCCGAGAAGAAGGGTTTGGCAGATTCTCACCCAGCCCCACGCCTGGAAAACTCTGCAGGTTTGCAATGCAGGCATGGCCCTGTCTGCCAGAAGGAAGTTTCAGCGCATACGCCTGTGCTATGGTCATGCAATGAGAGTGGAAGGGAAATAAAAATGACTCAGGATGACAATTTTATATAATCCTTTCCACAATGGCCTTTGGCTCCCATGCAAATTAGGAAGCATCCAGCCAGCTGTGGTGCTCTTCCTCATACCAGAGAGCCCTCCTTGGAGCAGGTGGCGTGTCAGGAACCCCTCGGGAAGAGCAGGGCGGAAAAGGGAACGGGTGTCCCTGTGCAACCTGGAGCCATGGCCTTCTCCGGTGGCCTGAGCCGGGCCGGGTGCCAGCAGCACAGAAGTCCTGTGGCCGAAAAGGATCGCGGTCCTGCGTCAGCAGCTCTGCCGCACCCCGTCCCCGTCCAAGGGGTTACGGGACTGGAGGAATGGAGCACAGTCACCCTTCACGCACCCATCCTTTACGTGGTCACACAACGGGCTAAAATCCGTGGTTAGAGTTAGTCCTGCACTGCAACACGCTGCCAACAGATAATCAGGTGCGGGTAAGGATTTGAGCAAATTGATTCTGTCTGCCTGAATGCTGGAGAGAAACATGCAGGGATAACCGAAGCGGGTTAAAGCCACATCCCCCATCGCTGTGAATTGGACAGAGAGCTGCAGCTCCCGCAGCGGGGAGAGCGGGAGGCCCCATGCCTGAATTTCAGGGGTGGAAGGCAGCAGCACGTGTTCCCAGGCATGTGCTCCCTCTTCCCGCGGAAATCCCCTTTGGAAAATCCGAAGGTGTCCAAGTTCAAACCGGAGCCGGGCCAGGTGATAAACGAGAGGGCGTGCAGGCGCGGGGCTGCGCTGCAAACCTCCAGCCTCCCCCAGCAAGTCCCGGCAAGAGCTGCTGAGTATTGGAGCTGGAACAAAAGGTGCCACGAG